CGTCATTGTTGTTTAGCGGCCCAGGCTGGATTCAAACCTACCACCTTAGGTATATGAGGCTGGCGCCTTAGCCACTTGAGCCACAGGTGCCGAGCCTCTCTTGCTCAGTCTTTCTCGAAGTGTATGCACACCCCTAAGACCACCACCAGCCCAGCCAGAAGGCTCTGGCCCACAGGCAAATTTAAAGAGTTCTGTTTTGGGGCCTTTCCCTATGAATCAGGGTTTTGATATTATAGTTATTCTCCCTAAGGGCATAGAGAGACACAGAGGAAGAAAGATTTGGGTGCGAATAATTTGTGCTCCCCACCTTTTTTTTTTTTGCTATCAGGCTTTGTCTGCTGAGTGCAGTGTAAATACCAACTTTCCATTAGGGTCAGTTTCATACTTTTGTGCATTTCGGTAGGCTAAATTTTCAGTTGGCTGGCGAGCCCTATCTTTAATACTGGTTAGGCTACCCAGACTGTTTTGTTCCAAAAAATTTGCATTAACCATGTCACCAACTCATGCACTGAACGATCCTTTTGTATTTATTAACCTCCCTAGGACCCAGGCTCAGGGAAGCAAGACTCAACCAACAAAGGACTAGGCATTAGACAGGGTGCACCATGTTTTGTCCAGGCTCAGGGCCTTTTCACTAAGGCCCATGCTGTTGTCATTTCATTTGATAATGGCTTCGTGGGACATTAGTAACTCTACAATTCTTTTTTTTTTAAACTTTTTTTTTTAGAGTCTCATTCTGTCACCCCAGGTGGAGTGCAATGGCATGATCACAACTCATTGCAGCCTTAAATTCCTGGGCTCAGTGATCCTCTTGCTTCAGCCTCCCAAGTAGCTGGGAATATAGATGCCCGCCACCACACCTGACTAATTTTTTTCTATTTTTAGTAGAGATGAGGTCTTACTCTTGCTCAGGCTGTCCTTGAACTCCTGAACTCAAGCTATCCTTCCGCCTCAGCCTCCAGTGCTAGGATTATGGGTGTGAGCCTGGTCTTAACTCTCCATTTCTATAACACACATCCGATGCATTTTTTTCCCTCCCTACACACAATTTGGATTAGAGGAATTATCCGGTTGTTAGACGCGATCCTTAAAATTCATCTGATGACCTATGAACAGTTGCTCCTTTCCCCAATTACCTGTGCCCCCAAAAGACAGCAACCAGCCTTGTTTGGAAAAGAATCTTCCTCTGGACACAGCCTACAGGCTCTGCTGAGGAAATGGAAGAATGTGGTGTGCATTGCTCAAGCCTGGGGCTGCCAAGCCTCCCACTGCTCAGAGGGCGCTTCCTGAAATTGGCTTCACCCTTTCCTCCAAACAATTTGGAAATACTGAGTTAGTGTGATTTGAGTTCCAGCCACCTTCTGCAGCAGCAAGGAAAAGGGGGTGCTCTCCTGTTCAGTGGGCCCCCACTGAATCTGGGCACCTAGCCCCAAGCCCAAAGCTGAGATGTGCTGCCCCTTCCTCATCCCTGCCACTTCCTGCTTGCTGGGTAGGGGGTATGAAATAGCTAGAAGACCCCAGTTCTGGGTCTCAATTCAGTCTCCCCTTCACATCTGAACTTGAGAGAGAGAGAGGAGGAAAGAGAGGCGTCAAAACTCCACATCCTGCTCACCCTGGAGGAAACCGGCCACACATACCTGAAGGTGATTAATTGTCTTTATTGGAGGAAAACAAGAAGTCATCAATCTCGTTATCATTATGATAGAAATCTTGATATGTATACATGATTGTCAAGGCAGAGAATCATTTGCTACATAGACCCATGAACAATTCTGCAGTGCCGCAAACCTATGTGGGTGAGACTTCTTGCGGAGTTTATTACATGCACGGAATAAATGCACAGTTTCCCTTCTTTTGGACAAACATGTTTTTATGGAAAAATTGAACCAATTGCAAGCCTGGTAATAGTAGACACGGGGACATTCCTGGTTTTGACATTGTAATTTTTGGAAAACATGCTCACTGTTGGGGGACTTAATGTGTAGCGACTAAAGCCAATTTAGAAATTGTTCCAATGTTTATTCTGGACAGAGTGTACCTTTGATGTCTTTTCACCTGAACGTGGGACTAGGACAAATGTTCTCTGTAACGTGCCACCTCGTCTTTCCAAAGGGAGACGCTGCTGCAGAATCTCAGCATTTCTGTTGCCAGTTAGACAGTGCCTCAAGCCACTGACGGGGCCAAGTCCCCTGAGGACAGTGGCAGCATCAGGGCTGCAGGACAAGCATCCGAGCTGATGTCCCTGTTCCCTTTTAACACTCTCGCAGTCAGGTTCCCGACAGACACCCCAAGGGCCCTTGCACTCGGAAGTGCCTGGGGCTTCCAGGAGCAGCTGGGAATCCTAGTCTGACCAGACTGAGATTTTCCTTTACGAGCAATTTAACTAGTGTTTGGGGCTGATGAAGTCTTACCTTTAAGACTAAAGCCTCAAACACTCCTTTCATTTTTTTTTCCTGTCCATAAGAAAATAAAATCACCTGTAAGTAAAATAATATGGCAAATCATCAGAAGACATAATAACCATATGAGAAGTTCTCTGGAGACACAAAGGTTAAAAACGGAATGGTGGGTGCGGAAGCGGCGTTAGTACCAAGGGTGAGTGCAGCAGCTGTCCCTTTGGTGTGGAAGGACACAGACACCAAGAAGCCATTCCATGGTTTACTTTGTCCACAAAACCAGACTTGGCAGCCACATGCTGAGCGTTTGGCTTCCAAATGCACAGCCTTTTTGGGTTCGCAAAAGCAGAGCCCCCCAGAGCCATGAGCTGCTCCTGCGGGAGGTGGCAGGGGAGTCCGGGAAGGGCTGACTCCTTCCTGCTGATTGTGGAGGCATCGAGAGGTGGCTGGGCCTTGGCCAGCATGCAGGGCAGACTTCACAGCGGGGCTGGGCTCCTGCACACACCCGGATTGCGGTCTGCTATGCACTGGGGCCACCAAAGTGCCAGGTGGTAGGCACTGCCGGCTACCCGCAGCTGAGGATGTCAAGGTAACTCATCTCCACACTCATTTCCTTGGAATCTTCAGGAAACAAGCCTCCCTTTTTAGGAAACTGTTTTCCCAATTCAGCTTTGCTATCTCCACATTTTTAGTTCCAACAATCGAAGGGATTGGACCACCTTTTGCAAATGTCAGACACACCTGCAGCCCTGAGCTAGGACTGGTGCCCCCACCCCCGGAAGTGGTGGATCACATGTAGGTATACACAGTTTCTTTTAAAAAACAAACTGAACAGTGTTTGGTCTGGAATGTTTAAGGAAAAGGCAAACTTTGCAGAGTGTTGAGTAGACAGAGGGGGAAGGGGCACTGTTTCGGGAGCACATACAAAGGGTTCGTGCACTGTTCCCTCAGAGGACCTCTGTGTCACTTTCGTGTGACTGCAAACCTGGGAAAGAGTATGTCATATTTCTGTGAAAAAGGAGAGGAGCTGCCACGTGCCAGCCACTGCGTCCCTTCCTCTCACCCAAAGGGGCCCCAGCAGTTCACCCATGCAGATAACACCAGAGAGGGAGCTTCTGGCTGAAGCTGGGGCAGTACCCCCGGCTCTGTCTTCAGCCTGGAGCAAAGATTTGCGTGTGGCTTCCCCAGTGGGGAGAATGGATTCTAGCCAAGCTGTGGGTGGGCTCAGGGGCCACGGTGCCCAAAGCCTTAAAAAACTAAGTCCACTTCCACTCTGATGTTGTCTTTTCTTTCTGTTTAAAATTTGTTGAGTGTGGGTGGGTCAGGTCAACCTGCCATTCCATAGAAAAGACCAACCCACTTTAAAAAGGGGTAACCTGGGCTCCCTCCTGCTGTGCCTGGTGGCCTCAGCCTCTGTTCTAAAGGGAGTACCCCCTTCCACTCGCAACCCATCCAAGCCTACTGCTTTTTACTGCGAGGCTCTCTCTAAACTGAGGCTGGGGGGTCTCTGTGCCAAATTCCTCTACTGAGACTGCTGATGTTTTCTGGGAGCCACACCTCAGTCTATGTGCTCATGGGCATCTTCCTTGGCTCTAGTCTGACTGCCGGGTCCCTAGACGTCATGCTAAGAGCTGGCTGCAGACTGGGGCTCTCTCAAAGGTCAGGCTTCTAGGCCAGGGTGGGGGTGGCTGCTCCCTGGCCTTGAGGTGGGATTTTAGAAGTGACCAGAATCGTGACCATGATCCAGAACGCTAAGCCATGCTGCTTGCTTGCTTTCTTCTTTTCTCTCTTTTTTGAGCTTTTTGCATAATTCCTTAAATTCTTTAGAAAGGAGATGATTTTTCTCTCCTCCTATGGGGGCAGGGGTGGTGGGAGGCACTCAGGAGGCACGAGCGGCCTGGAGGTGCTATCTCGTCCACCAGGGCAGCACTGTCTCCATGCTCCCTCCCTGGCCATGCCCTGTCCCGCCCCATGTACCCACCAGGAACCTGGGGTTGGAGCAGACAGCACCCCAGACCCTGGGCCCAGAGCCACCTGGGCTAAGCTCTGCCCATCAGTGCCCGAGTGCAGCGCCACTGGGTTCATCTCTATGAATGTCAGCTTCTCTTGCCTTGCGTATCAGAGATCAGGGAACCGAGGGAGGGACAGACGGGCAGCTAAGGGAAGGCCATTCCCAGCCACAATTTCCAGGCTTAACAGTGAAGTGAGAAAAGGAAATCCACAAGTGACAAGATGGGAGATCTGGGGTCAGGGACGGTGTGTCACGTGGGTGCCCTCTGAGGTGCTCGGCTATTCTTGTGGACTCTGGTGCCCGGGTGGGCCCTGGGGCCTTGCCACCCACCTGTCAGGTCTTCACACAAGGCGCCTCCTGCTTCTCTTCCCATTCTGTGAAAAAACAATTTGTACCCAGTGTGGCTGAAGAGAACCTCTGCCTTTTACTGCGAGGCTCTCTCTAAAGAGCCAAGGCTCTTGGCTTTCTAATAGGAAGGACCTAAGCCTAGTGGTATTGTGACAGTATGGCCTTCTTGATGTCACCTTCCACAGAGTCTGGTCCTGGGCTGAAACCAGCCACCATCTCCTCACACAATGTCACTGAGATCTAACATGCCACAGACCACACGTGGCAACGCGGGCCTTTGCATGGGGTTCACCTCTCAGCTGCTGTGCCCGGCTCAGGTGAGGTGCTCCCCCCTTACTGCAGTACCATGCACGGACTTTCAGCTGCAGAAACTGCTCCAGTCACCAAGAATGGGATGTGGCTTCAAATGTTGCTTTCTAAATGGAAACCGCTCTATAGGGCACACAGCACCAAGAGTTCATCGTAACTATTCATGGGCACATTGTAGGTGCCACAGTCAGGCAAATTCTCACCTGCTGCGACCTACCTCCTATTCACTCCTTTTCTTATGCTGTCCGACTCTGAGTGCTTCCCCATGCTGCGATTGAGTGGTGTCCTAGCAAAGCTCTGGGGGGCTCCTCAGTTTGCCCAAATACTATGTTTAACGTTCATTTCACTGTCCTTGTGGAGGGACTGATGCCTACTTAACTCAGGTGACACCTGCTTCTTAACTGGATCTGTTGTCCCTTTATAGACATTTCTAGGCTTTTTACAGATTTTAAAGAGTGGAGGCTTGATTTTCTCACCCCATGTGCCTGTGTGGCAGACACCAAGCAGCTGAGCAGGGGGACAGGGAAACCAGCTACCTGCACTCCCAGATGCTCCTATGCACACCTGTGTGGCCGAGCCTAAAGTGTGTCTTTGTATGTGGTGTGTCAGGGAGGACAGGGGCGTCACTGAACACTCCAGGCTTGGCCAACAAGACTCCCATGACTGGCTGACTCTAGTAGGAGGGCAAGAGAACACCAGCCAGGAAGTCACTGGGCCATCAGGAAGGCCTGCTGGGACACCCGTGGGGGCTCAGGGCCGTGGATGAACTTGAATGGCAGAGTGAGGGCCTCTGCAGAGCTGGCACTTGGCACCTCCTTAGAAAGTGGTTTGCCTGGGTCACATGTGGCCGTTGCTCTCTCCTGCACACCTGTCCCAAGATAATCCTAGTTTTAGAACAAAAAGTCCCACATCTGGGAAATCCTTCAATCTCATACACACTGGGGCAGCGGGAGACCCTACTGCCATCGGTCTTTGATTTTAGACTCCCCTGATCAGAGGAGTGGCTCCATGTATCAGCTGGACCTGGCTGAGGACATCTCTGTGCCCTGCTTGCCTGGTGGGCCACTTATCCTTACCACCAAGATGGATCTTTTCCAAGGCTACCTCCCTCCCTTTCTTCAGAAAACAATCATATAGGAATCAGATAAAAATGTGCAAAAACAACTTGTGTGTGTCGGAGGCCGTTATAAGCATAAGGTTAGAAATGTATTTTTTAAAAAACCGAGAGAGAAAGAGAGAGATTAATTTTAAAACTGCATAGCTGAGGTCAGAGCTTTCATCTGTTACCTCCCGTAAGAAACGAGGCTTGTGTGGGGGTTCACTTTCAACAAAAGGACAGCTTGTTCTTTGTCAGGGAGGCTCCTGCATCTCTGCATTGTGGAGATCTCACAGCAAGCTTGGCCTGTGAAGTTTAGCCTTGGGTCTCGGATGAGCAGGCTTCTTTATTTCTCACTGCAGATGGCCAGAGGCCTCTCTGGGCTCCAGGTAGCTGGGGTCTGTTGGAGGGGCTGCTGGGGGGAGGGGTGGTTTCTGCAGGTTCCCCCTAGATCCCCACCCTGGGGAGATCACAGCCCTGCAGACTTGCCACGTTGCCTTCTCAAGGAGCCCCTTCCCAAGGAAGGAGAGAAAGTAGAAGGAGTGGAGGTAAAGTGCACTCTTAGCCTTGGAGACAGGCTCTCGGTCCTCTTGTTAGAATTTTACAAAATACCTTTAAATTCCCCTTGGAGGAAAAAAAAAATCTCTTACGGGTTAACAAAAATCACTATTAAAGAGCAAAAGATATAGTCAGGTAACTGAGAGATACAGTCAAAAGGATATACTTCTTAAAAGAAAAAAAACCCTAATGCACAATATTTACCGATATTTAAATAATCCAGTTGAAACCAATTTTTTTTTGTCATTAATGAAAAAAATACACCATAGATGGTTACCTAAGCTGAGGAGGGTGGTAATGACGGCGCCGGGGAAGAGGAATGAGAAGGTCTGCTCAGTCAGCGCTCTGCCCGATCGTACGTACAGCACCAGATCCTGGTGGGTCAGCTCCCCTTGAGTCAGTACAGTTTGTGAGAAATGAACACTTCAGAATTGCAGTATAAAATATGGCCATAAAAAAACTTCCGTCTTCCAGTCTTATGCGAGGAGGTGCACCATGCAAGATGGGGTCTTGCTGCAGGGGCTCCTGGCGCCGGTGACCCCGGGGCTCCCCTTCCCTGGCCCCGCCCCCGGGCTCCACCTCCAGAGCCAGTCACTTGCTTCCTGTGTGCACTGTGGTCACAGTGGTGGGCCTGGGTCTCCGCTCAGCTCCGACTCCTGAGACCCCCGACGAAGAGGAAATGAAGCTACAGAGCGTGGAAGGTGCCAGGCCTGTAGAGACGGCAGACACGGCGCAGTTCAGAGTTTCAGAAGCAAATTCTCACCCTCCTCCCCTTGCAAGGGCATGGATGGGCTGGGATTGTGGGGGGCCCGGACTTTCACCCACGTGACTCCACACTTGTACCCACATGGAGGAAGACCTCTGCAGTGTGTCTAAAAGCTTTATGCTTAGACCCAACTCTCTTCTCCTTTCTTTGTTGTAACTAATTTTTATTTGAAAACAACAAGGCTTTGCTACCATGATGTGCTGGGTTCCATGTGCTGAGCACTTACTATGATCTAAGCACCAGGTGGGCTGTTGAACGCACAGCACATGGTCATTATAAGAGTTGCTTTTGTCTTACAACAGCTCCACGAAGAGCTGTTTTAAGAATGAGGAAAGATCTGGATAGCTCCTTCTGACCTCTGGTTGGTGTGTTGTCTGTACTCTTGGCTCAGAAGTATTTTGTGACACAGAGGTCTTTGAAATAAGGATGTTCACCTATTCTGTGTGAACTTAGCCCGAGAAAGTTCCCCAGTGGAAGTATGGGCACTGGACGCCCTTGACGTGACCACACCGGTTGGGGTCAGTGCTCCAGTGACAGTCCCCAAGCATGTGTACACAGGGAGGGCCATAATATAAGTTCCTAGGATGGGCCTCATTGTCAATGTCATTGTATGAATCTGGAAAGAAACAATTAACCGCGGAGCTCCCTTTGAGCAGACGGTAGAAAGGATTCAGGTAGGACGGGTATGGATCTACAACGTATGCTAGGCCAGGGGAGCTGCATACAGAGTTCTTGGGTGAATTTAAGGACTAAGCAGTCCTGAAGGAAATGGGATGATTTTTTTTTTTTTTTTGCACTTTTTGGCTAGGGCTGGGTTTGAACCCACCTGGCATATGGGGCCAGAACCCTACTCCTTTGAGCCACAGGTGCCACCCAATGGGATGATTTTTTAGAGAGAAAGGGAACCCTTTTCTGAGCAAATAGGAAGGGGTGTGATGCCCAGGGGAGAGGCTAAAAGGCTGCTCCTTGGCTGGGAAGATGAAGGCCAAGGGGATGGTCCAGGCAACTGCTTGGAAGTGGAGCAGAGCCATGCAGTGGCCTTGCAGGAGATTGCAGAGCCATGCAGTGGCCTTGCAGGAGATTATGATAAATGCAGAGAGAGGGGAAAGTGGGAGAGAGAAAGAGGAGGGCGTTAAGTGTGCCCACAGTGATGGAACAGCCCGTGTGAAGATGAAGGATGATGCAATACAATCACTATCACTATTTTTGCAAAGTCAATGCACTTTGTATAAATGAGCTCAAATGATCATTGTCCTCATTGAAAAAGTACATATTAGAAATCGTCCCTCCCTCAAGGCCAAGAGTGACCACACAACGAGAGATGGATCAGAATGAAGGAGACAGGTCTGAAAGCATCCTGGCCATTATCCGGACAAACAAGGCTACGAGGACTCAATCCAGGAATTTCTCATCTGTAAGTGGAAATAATGATACCTAGGATTGTGTGAGTATTTAGTGATTATACAGTAAGAACCTCCATAGCTGACCACCTCCTTATGCTGACCTAATTTTCACAGACTGGACACACACCACATGTACTTAATCAGTACAGCAGGCCTAGTTCCTTATGTCGGCCACCTCTGTATGTTGACCAGTTTGTTACAGTCCCTTGGGTGGTCAAGTCCAAGAGGTTCTCCTGTAGTTTCTAAAATGTCCTAGGGCTGTTGCATTAATGGGATAAAGTATTCAAAGTGCCAGGCAAAAAGTATGTGCTCAGTAAATGACAATTCGCCCTCCCACCACCCCAGAAGTGTCTTAAATGCCAGCTAATGAATTCTGGGTTTGCTACATACGCACAATCTTTTTGGCTGGCCAAACTGAGGCTGCTCGAAACACTTGCATTCGAACTGTCCAGGCTGCTGCCAAGATGGAGTTTTCTCATATGTCTCATGAAAAGCTGTGGCATTTAATGCTTGCTGAAATTTAAGAAAGGAAAAAAAAAAAGCAGACAAAATATTCCAGCTAATTAGAAGAGACTCTGATGGTAGCCTATCATTTATCCTGTTAAGCTAAGCATTTCAAACTCCTGAAGTCACTCTCATGAGACTCTAGAAATAAAACTTACGTGGTCCCTTCTTCTAAAAGTACTCAGATGTATAAATGCTCCTCCCTATCACAATATATTTTGGAGATCTAAAATAGTTTTCTTCTGATAACATAAACATATAGAATAAAGATAAAACAATTCTTTATAATTTAAGAGATGTGGTTTTTAGAATAAAAGAAATAATAGCTTAAAACAAACTTTTTTCTGAGACAGAGTCTCACTCTGTTGCCTAGGCTAGTGGCCGTGGCATCAGCCTAGCTCACAGCAACCTCAAACTCCTGGCCTCAGTTCTCCTGCCTCAGACTCCTGAGTAGCTGGGACTACAGATGCCCATCACAATGTGAGTTTTTCTATTTTTAGTAAGGACAGGGGTCTCACTCTTGCTTAGGGTTGTCTTAAACTCCTAAGCTCAAGGGATCTTCCTGCCTTAGCCTCTTAGAATGCTAGGATTATAGGTGTGAGCTACCATGCCCTTGACATTTTTTTTTTTTTTT